CAAAACAGAAAGACTCTCCCTAAATCCTTTTTTAAAATGATAGATGAAATAAATTTAAAAGATACATGGAGAGAAAGAAATGCTAAGACTAAACAATACACCTTCTATTCAAACGGACATTTATCATGGTCCAGAGCAGATATGATATGGATGTCAACAGAATTGTTAGCTAATATTCAAGAAATAAATCTTGAAACAAGTACTTGGGCAGATCATAATCCAATGACAATTAAATGGAAAGGACAAAGAAGAAGATCTAGATCGCCGTTAAATAATACTATACTAAAAGAAAAAGACTTCATACAGAAAATGGAGAAAGAACTGGCTTTTTTCTTTAAAGAAAATAAAAAAGAAGACATATCAATGCAGAACGTATGGGATACAATGAAGGCATATGCCAGAGGCTTGATAATAGACTATACAAGGGAAAGAAATACCACGAAAAGACTTGTCTCTAAGACATTAAAGAGTTACAGAAAATGCCACAGAAAAAGGACATTAAGTTAAAAATGGATATAATTAAACATAAAATGGGACTAATGGAAAAAGAAGAATTAGCACAGAAAATCAGAGGTGCGAAACAGAACTATTTTGAAGATGCAAATAAACCAGGTAGATGGTTAGCATATAAACTGAGAAAGGAGAAAGAATCAAGGAAAATATTGCGATTAATAGATGATCAAGGCCAAGTTTGCTATGGAAGTAAAGAGAAGAAGGAAATTATATGAGACTATTATGGGAAACTATACACACAAGAGAATATTGACGCTGAAAGAGTTAAACAGTACTTACAGAATGCTAATCTACCTAAAGAGATTGAAATAATGTTAGAAAGCAATATAACGATGATAGAGTTAACTGAAGCACTTAAGAAGAAAAAATAATGGAAAGGCACCAGGCCCAGATGGACTTCTGGCGGAATTTTACAAAATACTACAAGAATAGTTGAATCTTCTATTGCTAGAAGTTATGAATAAAGTTATGTTAAAGAAGATACCTAAATCATGATCAGAAGCTTATATTACACTTGTCCCAAAAGAAGAGGCCGACCCATTACAAATCAAGAACTATAGACCTATTTCCCTACTAAACGCAGATTACAAAATTTTTGCTTCAATACTGGCAGAAAAAATTAAAAAATACCTAAATAATTTTATTTATCCTGATCAAAATGGATTTCTGCCAAAGAGACAAATTAAAGACAATATGAGAGTAATCTTGGACACTTTGGAATACTACGAGGCACACCCTGAAAAACAAATGGCTTTGATATTTTTAGATGCACAGAAGGCATTTGACAATGTGAATTGGTGATTCATGTTATTACAGCTGGAACAGATGGGCTTTGGTAAAAAAATTACCAAAGCAATAAAAGCTATATATCATAAGCAGACAGCAAAGGTAATGATAGCGGGAGAATTAATGAACTCTATTGATATAAGAAAAGGAACAAGACAAAGGTGCCCACTGTTGTTTGTGTTAACCTTGGAAGCGCTAAACAGAAATATTAGAGAAGAAAAGGATATAAAAGGGATGAAAATTAAAAAGGAAGAATTTAAGTTGCAAGCATTCACAGATGATCTGGTTTTTATTTTAGAAGACCTACTAGAAACAGCATTAAAATTGATAGAAAGGATAGAGGTATATGGGAAGGTGGCTGGTTTGAAAATAAATAAAGACAAAATAAAGATTTTGACAAAGAATATGTTATCAAGACAAAAGGAAGAATTGGCGGATGTATTGAAAATCCAGGTCACAAATAAGATCAAGTACTTGGGTATACATTTGACAGCAAGATGTAGTACACTAAAAGAGAATAACTATATTAAACGTAAGCAGCAGATAGCGCTAGATTTGGTGAAATGGGAAAATTTACAACTGTCATTAATAGGGAGAATATCAACAATCAAGATGAATATATTACCCAGAATTTTATATTTGTTTCAAACTATTCCAATTAGGCTTGGAAAAGATTATTTTGGAGATTTAAATAAAATTGTGTTGAAATATATATGGCAAGGTAAGAAAGCGAGAATAAAATTAAAACTTTTGCAAGATGCTAGAATAAGAGGAGGATTTGGTTTGCCTAATTGGGAGTTGTACTATCAAGCTACAAATCTGATGTGGGTTAAGGAATAGATAACATTAAGAAATGCTAGATTGTTGACACTAGAAGGACATGATCTGTTGTTGGGATGGCATGCTTTTTTATGGTATAAAGGAACTAAAACACAGGGCTATTTTAGAAGACATTATATACGGGAGTCTCTGTGGTTAAATTGGGAGAAGACTAAAAGGCAATGTTATTTGAAAATTCCGGTCTGGCTATCGACTATTGAAGCATTTTCTTATCCTATAATATACAAAAAGGAACAAACAGTTAGATATGGTGAAATATTGAATGAAAAGGGTGAACTTAAATCTATGCAAAAATTAGAGGAACAAGGTATAAAGATGAATTGGTTTTCATATGCACAAATACATTCTAGGTATGATAAAGATCCTGAAACAGAAGGTTTCTATGATAAATTGACTGATTTAGATAAGATTTTAACAGATACTGATGAAAAGGTATTAAAAACTGTATGGATATTTATTAGAAATTAAACTAGAAGAAGAACAAGTTAAAGAAACAATGATTGCTTGGGGGAAGAATTTTGGATATGTGATTGATTTAGAGAAATGGCAAAAATTGTGGTCTCAAAATTATAAAATGACAATGTCTACAGCATATAAAGAAAATTTGTATAAGATGTTTTACAGGTGGCATTTTCCCCCAACAAGAATGGCAAGAATGTTCAAGAACAAGTCTGAAAAATGTTGGAAATGTCATCAGATACCTGGCTCATATTACCATATGTAGTGGACGTGCGCTGATGCCAAAAAATATTGGACTAAAATCCACACATGGTTGGAAAAAATGACAGAAAAGCATATAGACTTGAAACCAGAGATATTTTTATTGGGAATTTTACCTGAAATATATAGTAAATAATTGAAATATTTGATTGTAAATGTATTAACAGTGGCTAGGATCGTATTTGCTAAAAACTGGAAAAATGAGAAAATACCAACACAGGAGGAAGTTATTAAGAAAATAATGGAATGTGCTGAAATGAGTAAATTGACATTTGAAATCAGAGAACAAGAAGATAAATAATTTTATAAAATTTGGGATCTATTCTATCAATGGTTAGACAATAAAAAATGGTAATGAAATATTTAGATTTTTAGAACGTAATGAATATATAAAGATGTATTTTTTATTATATCTACAAAATGATTATAGGATAGATTTGAGATGGAAATATGAACTGTCATAAAATAAATTAAGTAAATATGGAATATTTTGTAAAACATGAATGAATAATAGTATAGTCAAATGATTGATTAACAATGATATTAATGTATTTAGGAATATTTGATTGACAATATGAGAACATATACAATGTAATTCTAATGGAAGACTACGAAGTGGAAGCACAAAACAATTTGTAAACCAACCTATTTGGAAAATAGTTTGATGTTTTTATGTTGTGTTTGTTCATGTTTGTCTTAAAAAAATAAAACTTAAAAAAAAAAGAAATCCTGGCTTTTCCCTCTTAAAATACATTTAATTTTCACAACTTCAGGAAGGGAAGGGAACCCAGAATTTGGGTACTGAAATCCACTGTAAGAATTGTCATAATATTCATGAACTGGCAGAGACATGGTAACAAGGTCAGGCAATGAGAGCTGAATTAGAAACTAAAACTGAAATTGATTGGCTTGCTTCACAGTGCATCAGAAGACAATCTGGCCAACATAATGATCAAGCCATTGGGTGGAGTGCACCATGGGAAGAATATTAAGTTAAGTGTCTCTTCCAGTCATGAAGAGGTGTCAGAATATTCAGAAACTGCAGAGACATAACAAGGTCAGGCAATGAAAGCTGAGTTAGAAACTGAAACTGAAGGAGCCTGGGTATGGCCCTGCAGTTCTGTGTGTCGTGCTAAGAATTGAAACTATTCTTATCTGCTCTGAAGCTGCTGCTTGTGTTTTGCTTATGTTACATTGGAAGAATCTACTATTGGTATTGTAGATTTTACTCATATTATTATGTATATTAAAAAGTTAATGAATCCTGCTGAATCAGTCATCTGTATGTGCTTTCTGGATTTGATTTCTGCAATAAGAATGCTAATCATGCAAAAATAGCATTCTGCTCTATTGGATATGGATAATTCCAAGTTTAATTGCACTGATCTCCCAGGATGAATTTCTCTGTAGGTTTGTGCTAGCTGAAAGCAGCTCTTCAGGGTAAAGTTAGCTTGGTTGGGGGAAACTGGCCCAATTCAGTGACCTGGTTGGTTGATCCTAAACAACATTGACATTAAACACAGAGTAGCAGAGGAAAAGGGTTTCAAAGGCTTCCCCATCCAAGGCAAAGGGAAGTTCTAACATCTGGGGATTTGTATAGTTGCTGGCATTGTTGGGTGTTGCAATGTACAGTAGATGCCACTCTATGCTAATTGTTGATATATTCAGCTACCTCTCCAGTCTCAATGCTACTTGCCCAACTTTTCCTCATGAGAACATGTGTTCCTCAGTTTACCATAGAATTCTAAAGCAAATGCACTTGAAAGTTTTAGATCTGGATTAGATCTAAACTTCAATTCAAAATCAAATCCAGATTTGTTCCAGGCCAATCTGCTATAATTTTGGATTATAGCTCTCCTCATTTTCTACCAACAGGTAAATTCAGCAGTATACCAATTTGTGTCCTTTGTGCAAAGAAAATGATTGTTTGTATTTTGTTTTTACAATTTATTTCACCTACAACAAAAGATGACTCCCTCACTGGAAATCTTCATTTATATGGTTTCTGATGTTTTAGTACATTTCTTTCTTTTCAAATATATCTTTGCAAATAAAGGGACTAAAATCATTTTTTTTCCAAAAAGAAAACTTAGATTCTCAAGGTACTGAATTATGTTCCTTGCATCCCATTCCATACTTACTTCCTGTACACCCATGGAAAAAGAATAAACTACATCTTTTTGCTCAAGTAATTCAAATGTATAGAATTCTGAAATCAGGCTGTTTCTCCTGGTGGAAAGGAACCTTCACTTGCTCGTTCTTCCAGGTTGGATGGCTTTTTCCCCTCCATTAGCTTCAATATGGCCTGCAGGGCTTCCTCATGAGATTGTTCTTTAAAGCACTTTCTGCTCAGCAATTTAATGGCTTGCAAAAACTCAATATAGTTAATGTGGTTGGCCCCCTTAAACCTGCAGGAGACAGAGGGGAAAATCAATTAACCATATGCTAGTGGATTTTCATTTCCTCCTAATCTGTGACACAGGAGTAAGCAACTTATGCTTGCAGGCAATTCCCATACCCATCCTTAAAGCTGCCAAAACTTGAAAAATAGCTGAAGTCAGTCTAAAATGCAACGCATTCTGGGATTGGGGCATTTCAAGACTGAAAATGGGGGTGATTAGCACTCTACAAGCCTCCTGTTCCTTTTGCTACCTAAAACCCTACAAACAGAATAAAGAGAATGAAATTTTCATCCTTATTCTTTCTGGGAAACTACGAGCTGAAATACACTATCTGCTCTTTCAAGCATTATCCATCACTGCTGTAAACCACAGACGGCTGAAATCACGTAAGCCTCTAAGATTAAGTCTTTAATCTCTGGGATAAATACAGTATCCAGGGGTCTATGAACTTGGATGGGGAATAGAGTTTCAACTTTATTTTCCCTAACCCTAACTGAAGTTTAGCTTTTCAAGTAGGCATAATAAATTATGGCCCCTAGACCCCCAAAATGTGTAGCTTCAATAAATCTCACTATTTAAACTCTAAAAAGTGGTATTGTCTTATACTGAAGAAACATGTTACTATTACTGATATGTTAATTTTTTAAAAATACTTTCATTAATTATATTTTTAACAAATTGGTTTCCTTATGCTTATGTATTTTATTTTATGCATTTGAAGGCAGCTTTCTCAGAGAGGGTAGAACTGACGTAGCGGGAGGATGGGTGATTCGGGAGCTCCCAAAAAGCTATTGAAATCCCTGCAGCTGGACGGTCCAATTAGACCTAAATTGTCCAAGAGAGATGGTGATAGAGGAGAGCACATCCTGTTGATCCCAGGGACACCACAAAGTCCCTGGTTGATCCAGGGAAAGCTCCCTAATCCAATGGCAGAAGAAAGCGGCCATTAAAACTGCTGAAAAGCTGGGACAGCTCTGGAATGGAAGAAGAGACAGAAGGAAAGTGTGTTGGACCTGGGTGAGGGTTTTTTAAACTTTTTTTCTCTAAGGATGAAAGAGCACTCTAAGGGGAAAAGAATTTTAAGGAGAAGATGAAAGAGAGAAGTTAGCGGTGAAAGAGCATGTTTTTAACTGTCAAATTTAATTAGGACTATTTTATTACATTTATAACAAAGATTAATTTTCTAATTGGACTGGACTAACATTTAGAAAAAGATAAATTTTTAATTTTAATTTTAACTTTAAACTTTGGACTATTCTTCTCTTTCTGCTTGTTATCTATTAACCTAGAAATTTTAAAAGTGAAACCTTTTTGGAACTTTTTGATTAGAAGTGAAAGAAGTGAAAGCAAAGCAATAGTGCCACCTAGAGGTTACAGAAAAGTTGGAGAGATCAAAGGACTGAATTGGTGAGAAAATTGTTTTTGACTGCAAGCTGTTTAGATTTAAAAGGAAGATAAAGAGCAGAGTGTTGAACTATTGTTTAAACAGGTGCTGTGCTGGTAAAATAATCTAAACAGCTGGAGATTGAAAAGGAAGAGAAAAGACTACTGGGGCCTTGGACTATGTTTTGACTTGGGTTTTTTTTTTTTTTTTTTGGATATTATATGGTGGCCAGGGTCTACTTTGTGACTTTTATTTAGAATTACTGCTGGCTATTTTAGTTTATTTTTTTATTGCTGGTATTTGTCTCCCCCCCCCCCCGTTTTTTTTTACATCCATTGGCTTTTTTTAATTCTAGTCTTCTTCTTGGTATATTTTAATTTTTCCTATTACTTCTTTTTATTATTGGATTACTGTTAGTGGATTACTTTTGGATTTTTTTTAAATTTCTTTTTCTCCTTATTCTTGTATGGCCTCTTTGTGAATTTTGTATTTTTGATTTCTCTGTTTTTATATTTTTATATTTATATTTTTATATTTTTTGCCATTTGATATGGAGAGCTTGGTTTCTTTGCAATTAGATTAAGGTAGAGGAGAACCTGAAGAAAGCAGAACTTGGATTAATTGGCAGATACTTTTTCTTTGGGATTATTTGAGATGAGAAGGACAGCTGGAACAGCATCTTCAATTCCTACCCCCTTTTCTCTAAAGTCAGCTGGTCAGCGATCAATACAAGCTGTAACAACAGGAAAAGGAAAAAGAAAAAGGAGTTTTCAATGCAGGAGCTAAAAATAATGACGTAAGGAATACAAGAACAAGGGAAGCGTATTGAAGAGAAAATTGAGAATATACAACGATGAAGAATGAAGAAAGAATGCAAAAGATGGAAGAAAGGGAAGACCAGACAGAGAAAAAAGTTGGAGAAATAAATTACAGATTGACAGTAGTGGAACAAAAGAAGGAAAAGGGAATGATTGAGCTGGAGATCTGATTTTTATCTAAGATTTCAAAATGTTGAGGAAGAAAAAGGAGAAAATTATTAAAAATTTTACAGAAATAATGACAGAAATGTTGGCAGAAGCCATGGAGATATCAAAAGAAAGAATGATGGATGAAATTGATGTCTTATTTCGAGTGTATACAAGATATGTAATGAGACATAAGCTACCCAGAGAAATACATGTGAGATTCACCAAGAAAGCAACTAAAACAGAAATGTTACAGAAAGCAAGAGACGACCCATTGAAATGTAAAGGGAAGATGATCACAGTCTTAAAACAAGTACCAAGAAGAGTGACAGACTTGAAAAGAGAGTATCAGTTCTTCACAAAGATTCTAATTAAGGAGTGAATTATAGATAGTTGATTCCAGAAGGCTTGATGTTTATTTGGCAAGAACAAAGAAACAGATTGGATTCAGTAGAGAAAGCAGAGCAATTTTATGATGAATACTTTAGAGGAAACGAAGAACAAGAGAAGAGGAAATAATTAAACTTTGAAAGGAGATGGCTGAAGGGATAAAGAAAAAAGAGAGAAGAAAGAATACGAGAAGAAGGAGCAACAAGTGGCAGGGTGGAACCAAAAGAGGCAAGAGAGCAAAGAGAAATCAGAGCAATAAACCCTACATATAACGTGTAAATAATGGATGAAGAAAAGAAGCTAATATCAATAAATATAAATGGATTGAATTCTGCCATCAAAAGAAAAAAGATTTTTCATAAGTTAGAAAAACTAAAATTAGATAGAATCTGTCTGCAAGAAGTACATATTAAAAAACCTATATGTTCAAGTTCCGGATTATCCTAGAATTGAGAATGTATATGCATCATTGGCATAACAAAATAAAAGAGTAGCCTTATATATTAAGAATACAATAAAAGTTAAATTAATTTTCACAGATGAAGAAGGGAGGATATTGATGGTGAAAATAATAGACAATAATCAAAAAATGGTCTTAATAGCAATAGATACAACAAATGAGAAACAAGAAGAGTTTTTAAAAAAATTACACACAAAAAATAATAGAATTGAAATATGACAGTATATGTATTTAAGGAAATTTTAATGCTATAGTAGACAGAGTTGGGCTACAAAATACCGAAGATAAATTAAAAGAATAGAAAGACACTGCCAAAATCTTTTTTTAAGATGGCAGAGGAACTAAGTATTCAAGACGTATGGAGAGAATTAAACATCAATAGACAATATACATTTTACTCAAATAGACACTTATCATAGTCAAGAATAGATACGATTTGGATGTCACCTGAATTAACTTTAAATGTACAAGAAATAAACATTGAAACAAATACTTGGGCAAACTAATATGGGTTAAATGGGAGGGACAAAAGAAAAGGTCAAAATGGACTTTGAATAATTCAATTTTGAAGGAAAAAGAATTTATAAAAAAATATGGAAAAAGAATTAGCTTTCTTCTTTAAAGGAAATAAAAAAGAAGGCATCTTTTTGAGGACTTTATATTTTTCAACTTTTTGTTCATGACACAAAAAGGTTATGGCAAACGCAGGCAAGACATCTTCTTAGAATGATTTGTGGGTGCAGAAAACAGTATTTGGGGCTAAACAGAGCCTTCTGTGAACAATTAGTAAGTAATCTTAGTATTTTCAGTAGTCCCTGCAAGCTTGTTTGCAATGTTCCCACCATTATCATTCCAAGCTCACTTGACTTCATTGAAGGCAATGAGCACATCAGTGTTGGTCACAACTTTCCCATCCATCACACCACATTCCTTCAACATCTTGTAGAAGTTCTTCCCAGACATGGTGTTCCTGTGAGTAGCTGTGTTTCCATATGCAGCAAATCTAAGGAAAGCGTTTTCCAGTTCTGACATTCCTTCTGCAAGAGTGAACGTGACATGGTGTCTTTAGAAGAGGACCTAAAACTGTGCCAAATGGGGAAAAGAGGGCAACACCTTTGAAAAGACAACCCAGGGCTCCATGCTAGAAGGAATTAATGGGAACTGAAGACAATCCTCAAGTCAAGAATATCAATTATTGTTAAGATAGTGTTCCACTATCTCAGGGCATTTCTATTATAGCTGCACAGCTTTATAAGAGAAAACATAAATGTTGGTTCACAAACAATGATGAGTTTTACATTTTTCATGAAAGGTGCACCTTTACTGGCTGCTGGTAATCTTTGATGAATTGGCAATTATCCAGCTTCCCAATGCATTGCTTAGGAAGGACACAACTAAGCAGTTCATTTGAAATCTCATTCTTAAAATAACATTACAATTTTTAAAAATATTGCATTTCAAAAGTATGCACACTTTAAGTTTGGGGATGATTTATCCTGGTATCTATAGCTTAAGGTTGGAAGTGACCTCAAAAATCATTGATCCAGTTTTTTTTTTCAAACCTAGCAAATTGGCTTTAAGCTCCAATCAGGGCTGGCTAGAGAATTCTGGGAGTTGAAGTCCACACACTTTAATGTCGCTAAGTTTGAAAAGCACACATCTAGTTTAATCAAATACCAAAGCATAATTCTCACCACCTATTTTCCTGTTACTGTAGCTATTGACTAGAGTTTTTCTTACACTGCAGAAAGTGCAACCCCATTAAGTCCTCTTTATACATTGCCTGAAAGCCATCTACACATATAATTTGAACCTTAATTATGACCTTGTAGTTTGCCTATGATGTCATTATTAATGTAAACTTTCAATTTCCCATCAAGAAATGGGAAAGATGCTTGTGTTTAAAGCAGCAGTAACAGGCAGCTCGGTGATGCACTGCACAATGTCATGTCTGTATCAGTAAAATTCTTCATGATCATAATCTCAAGGATTATATCATACAGAAAGTGTTGACCTTTCTTTAAAAATAAGTTTTAAGTTCTGGCATGTCTATCTAGTGAAGAACTATCATTCAAAACTTGGATTTCATAAAAACATTCCAAAAACTTCTTTCTTCTAATACTGAGTAGGAAGTTGTATTTCAGAAGTACCCTATTCTTTCTCTGAAAAGCAAATAGAGCATGACTTATCTGCAATCCATTTTGAAAAATACCATACCGAACTACATCCAAATGTCATTCTTACTACAGAATTTATTTCAAAAGTAGTGGATGCAATTTGCTACTACAGTAGTCTGTTCAATCTGATGCTCTCTAAATATCCTGAGAATTTTGGTAATCTGAGGGTGAAAGTCAGGTGAAGGTTCATTCTCCGAGCTTGTGGATTGGTTTCTCAACCACAATTTTTTCTCAACCATCTACAGCACAGGATCTGAAAGTCCAGGTATTTGGTTTACTGGTCTTGATGCTTGCAAAGAATTAAGACAGGACAAATGTGATATATGAACCATGAACGCATGTACAGATATTAAAATTGCATGAAAAAATGCTAATATATAAATCTAATGATGCCTGGATAAGTAGAAATGCTAGATCAATTGGTTTTTAAACCTGGAATGATGGTTCTCTATCCGGTGCCTACATAGGTGCTCAATCACTAAAGGATTATTGAATCACCTGGGATGAGCAGGTAGCCTGCTCTTCTCACAAATTGAAATGCTTGATGAACCTAACAACAACTTGGATAATGAGGTCGCTTGGAACTCTTTCGCCCAAAATTAGGATTGACCGTGAAGTGGTGAATGAAGCATCATCCTTCATAACATTCATTAGATCCTTCCACTTATGACACTTAGGATCAAAGGTTTAATTTTGACACTCAAAAAAAAATTAGTATAGATTTCAAATCTGCTGCTGATTGTGAAGTTAAAACAAAAAGGAGACAAATAAAGTACCTATTTTCGAATCAGAGAGAAATCAGAAGCAAGTCCTGTGAATATAATTTTATAAATCCTATTTGGGAGAGGCAGATTACAATGCTCAACGTAGTAGTAGGACATCCTCCTCTTTCACAAGCTGTTAGATGAGCATAAGCTTTACAATGCTATCCAAAACTTGGTATGGAAAAACAGCACACAGAGATGTTGTTTTTCCTATGCACTTTTGTTATTTGACTACCTTCTTTCTACTACATGGCTTTTCTTATCAGCTTTTTGTTGCTTCAGAGTACCAGAGTACACAAAACATGAATCCCCGCAAATGGTATGTTTACTCAAAAAGCGAAGTCAAAAGACATACTTAAAGATTGCATTTCTATTAGACAAGGTCAGGATGCCAGTGGAATGCTTTTTCCATTGGAACCATATGTGTGGAACCTTTTTCCATTGGAATCATTGGGACCTTGAGCTTGAAGCATTTCTGCCTTACTTAATAAACTTATATGCTGCCCATCTCAACAAAAGCCTTAAGAGGACAGTTTGTAAAATAAAAAGATAAACATAAGAGTTAAAATTAGCAAAAGCAATAGCACTTAAAATTATATGCCACTTTATAGTGCTTTAAGCCCTCTTTAAATGGTTTAGTCAGCATATTGCCCCCAACAGTCTGGGTCCTCAATTACTGACTCCAGAAGGATGAATCAAGCTTGAGCCAGAGGATAGAACTCCTGGCAGTCAGCAGTTAGCCTGCGATGCTGCATTTAATCACTGCACCACCATGGCACTTTAAAATTAAGATTTAAAAATTAATTTTTTGATCTATTTTAAAATTAAAAACATAATTTAAAAACTAAATAAGAACTAAAACCAATGGGATGAGGTCTTTTTCTTACAGGTCAATCTCCTCCAGCAAAGAGGAGATTTACCTACAGCTGGCAAAACCAGGTTTTAAGGCCCTTCTGGAAGGTCAGAGGGTGGGACTCACAATAGAAAAGGCTCTTCTCAACTCTACCAGCAAAATTCCCTTGACAGGGTCTCCAGCAATCCACTTCTGCTGAAGCAAGTGGGCAGGCTAAACCCATTATTTTTTCCTGGAATGAATCTGATAGATTCATTGTTAGAAAGCTCAGGCAGCCACTGGAGATTTTTTTCAGTGATGACTAATGGATGATTTCTCGAAATTAATACATTTGGCACTAGATAACATTTTTTTTAGAGTGAATCCTATCATGTCTGGAAAAGACAGACACCAGAAACTTTGGTACATTTGCCTTTCATTAATTTTATTTTGAAATAAACACGAGTATACAGGACAAGGTCAGGCTACCTTCTGAGTTTCCCAATGTAACTGTACATAATTTCTTCAGTTTGATACATTTCTGCCTTAATTTTTTTTCTGGAACGAACATGCTGATGTTCTGCAAGCTTAGGCCACTGGAAGCTGTTTCCACTTTCACAACAGATGTGCAGCTTCCAGAGTTTGGTGCATTTGCTTCTAGTCATCATTTTCCCAGAATGAGAGCATTTAAATTGAACAAAGGGAGAAAAACCGCTGGAAGATCTTTCCACACCAAATACAGTACATGCAAACAGCTTTTGAAGCTTCATATATTTACTTCTATGTGACATTTCTCTAAAATGAGTGTTCATGTCAGGCAAGGTCAGAAGGCTATTGGAAACCTTTTCCACATTGATTATAAATATGTGATTTCTTGAGCTTGATGCACTTGCCTCAGCAATTTTTTTCGAGAATGAGTGTATTCATATCGGGCAAGATCAGGATACATAAAGCCTTTTCCATACTGATCACACAAGATTTGAGCTTGGTATGCCTGCCTCTCACAAATTTATTTCTTGAATGAGTGTGTTCATGTTGGGCAGATTGAGAAGGCCACTGGAAGCTTTTTTTTTTCATTGGCTACATGTGTACTATTAGTTGAGTTTGATGCACTTGCCTCTCAGTAACTTTTTTCTAGAATGAGTGCATTGATGCTGGGCAAGATCAGAAGGGTACATGAAACTTTTTTCACACTGATCAAAGATACAGGATTTTTTTTAGCTTGGTACACTGGCCTATCACTACTTTAATTCTGGAATGAGTGTGGGTTCATGTTTGGTAAGTTGAGAAGCCTTCTGGAAACTCTTCCTACAATGAGTACATGTGTAATATTTCTTGAGTTTAGTGAACTTGCCTCTCAGTAACTTTTTTCTAGAATGAGTGAGTTCATGTCGGGCAAGGTCAGAATGATACATGAAGCCTTTTCCACACTGATCAGATACAGGATTTTTTTAGCTTGGTGCACTGGCCTCTTGCTACTTTAATTCTGGAATGACTGTGTTCATGTCGGGCAAGGCCAGAAGGATACATAAAGCCTTTTCCACACTGATCACAGATACAGGATTTGTTCAGCTCGGTACACCTGCCTGTCACAAGTTTATTTCTTGAATGAGTGTGTTCGTGTTGGGCAGATTCAGAAGGCCACTGGAAGCTCTTTTTACATTGGCTACGTGTGTAGTATTGATTGAGTTTGGTGCACTTGCCTCTCAGTAATTTTTTTCTAGAATGTGTCTTTTCATGTCGGGCAAGGTCAGAAGGGTACATGAATCCTTTTCCACACTGATCACAGATACAGGATTTTTTTAGCTTGGTACACCGGCCTCTCACTACTTTAATTCTGGAATGACTGTGTTCATGTCGGGCAAGGTCAGAAGGGTACACGAATCCTTTTCCACACTGATCACAGATACAGGATTTGTTAAGCTTGGTACACCGGCCTCTCACTAATTTACTTCTTGAATGAGTGTGTTCATGTTCGGCAAGTTGAGAAGCCTTCTGGAAACTCTTTCTACATTGATTACATGTGTAATATTTCTTGAGTTTGGTGCATTTGCCTCTCAGTAATTTTTTTCTAGAATGAGTGGGTTCATGTCGGGCAAGGTCAGAAGGATACATAAAGCCTTTTCCACACTGATCACAGATACAGGATTTGTTGAGCTTGGTACACCTGCCTCTCACAAATTTATTTCTTGAATGAGTGTGATCATGTTGGGCAGATTCAGAAGGCCACTGGAAGCTCTTTTTACATTGGCTACGTGTGTAGTATTGATTGAGTTTGGTGCACTTGCCTCTCAGTAATTTTTTTCTAGAATGAGTGATTTCATGTCGGGCAAGGTCAGAAGGATACATAAAGCCTTTTCCACACTGATCACAGATACAGGATTTGTTAAGCTTGGTACACCTGCCTCTCACTAATTTGCTTCTTGAATGAGTGTGTTCACGTTTGGCAAGTTGAGAAGGCCACTGGAAGCTCTTTCCACATTGGCTACGTGTGTAGTGTTTCTGGGGTTTGTTACACTTGCCTCTCAGTAATTTTTTTCTAGCATGCATGCATTTATGTTGGGTAAGGTCAGGCCACTGGAAATTTTTTCCACACTGACCACAAATATATGATTTCTTCATCTTGGTACACTTGTCTTTCATTAGTTTTGTTCTAAAGTGAGTCTGTTCATGTCGGGCAAGTTTAGAAGGCCAGTGGTAACTCTTTCCACAGTGACCACAAATGTAGGACTTGAACTTGGTGCCTCTCATTAATTTACTTCTAGAATGTGTGTGTTTATGTTGGGCAAGGTGGGAAGGACAATAGAAATGTTTTCCACCCTGGTCAGAGTTATAGGATTTGTTGGGCTTGATGCCCTTGCTTCTCATTAATTTTTTTCTAGAATGAACCCGTTTATGTCGAGCAAGGTCAGAAGGCCACTTGAAGCTTTTTCCACAGTAACCACATGTGTAGGGTTTATTTTTCTCAGTCAACTGGTTTGTCTTCAGATGGGAAGGTTGGTCAAAATCCATGGGACCAGATGATAAATCTTTTTGATAATCTACCTTTGATGGGCATTGTTTCTTACTAGCTTTTCCAGAATGCACAACATGATGTCGAGCCAGGGCAGAGGACCATCGGAAGTCCTTCCCACATTCCGTACATATTCTTGGACTTTTGATATCGGAACCTTGGTTTGTTGTGAGATTTGACTGAGGTTTAACTGTTTCAGACGATTCTGTAACTTTACTTTCCATTTGAAATTGACTTAAACTGCCTGCTTGTATTTTAAATTGGTCCTGTGTATCTGTTTGCCCTCCCAAGGCAACATGTAGATGATGCTTGGCTAACAAACAATGACACTGGCAATTGTTCCTATCACAGTTACAAGTGTACAGATTCTTAGCACAGTTCTTTTGTTCTGTAAGGATTTTTGAGTTTTCACTGAATGTTTTGTCTGTTTGCAGAGAAGTGGGCACTGAGCTTTTTGGACTGTATGCTCCCAAGTGGAACAGTTCATCTCTATCTGCTTTCAATTCCAAATTATCAAGATGCTGCTGAGCACAAAGACTATGACTGCATCTTCCACATTGGTCATTGTGTTGTTTCCCTGTGTAAGGACTTGTACGCACTGAGTTTAGGTTAGAGGTTTCACAAGAGTCTGCAAACATGTTTCCTCTCACATGGGGGACAAATGACAAGGTACTAGATTTATTTATTTTTGATTGTCTAGTCAATTTCTCCCTAGGAAGTGTATGCCACTTGAGTACAGAGGACTTGCAGAAATCCTTTCCATTCTGATGGCTGAAATACTGCATCTTTGCAGGAGTGTTATGATCTCTTGACTTTTGTTGGAAAGTTTCCCAAGAGGTTGCACACATTCCGTTTTCCTGGAAGGGAATAGGGACAAATGCCAAATGACTTGGATTTCTATCTTCCAAATTAAGCTGGCTTTGTCTATCTGCTTCTCCTCCAAAATATAGTAGCTGATGTCGGATAAGCTCAGAAAGCCACTGGTATTCCTTTCCACACTGGTCACAGATATGCAGATTTTTGGTCTCAGTTCTCTGGTCTGTTACTTGTATGGCATTTGGACCAACTGCTTCATCAACATATTCTATTATATTCTCTGCCTTAAGAGGAACTGGTACTAATGTGCTTCTATAGCATACTTCTGATATCAGACTACCTGCTTCTGATTGAAAGCTTTGATGCTGCCAAGCTGAGTTTTCATTTGGAAGCACATTTTTATAATATTGGGAAAGGTGAGATAGACTTTGGTTATTTTCTCCACATTGGTCACCTATTATTAAACAATTTTTAGTCTGGCTATTCAGGTCTGGCACCAGTGAATTGCATATTTCCAATTGCTCACTCTGCACAGGCATTTTACTTGCACAGAACACATTTTTATGTTGTGCAAATAGAGATGGTTGCTGGAAGTCCTTTTTAGGCCTATCACAAAAGTACAGATTCTTGGTTTGGTTGTGGTGGTAATTAATTGGTTTTGAGCTTTGGCTATTTGCTTCCTCATCTTTTACAGAGGTATTCTTATCATGGTGGGGTACTGAAAGATTGGTCACAACTTTGTCGGACTGCCACGGATACTCCCAAACTGCTTCTGTCTTTGCTGAATTCTCCAATGCTACTTTCTCAGCAGTTGTCAGCTGATCATTTGCCAAACCTTCATTATCTGCCAAAATTAAAAACACTAAAAATAATTCCTGGAGACGTTGGGAGCACATTGGGCATAAAACTGACCCCTACATTTTAAACATATTCTTTAATTGTAGGAGAAACAAACAAGTACCTCATTCCTTAAAACTGGAGAATTTGCTTTGGCAAGTAAGCTTGCCAAACTTCGTTTATGTGCAACTATAAAAACTTGGCATGTTAAAACACTCATCATATAAGATTGTAGAGATGTAGTGATTTGGGGAAAATAGAGTTATTTTGGTAATGGAAATGTTGGGACCACTGGCATCTAACAGAATGACAAGGAAATTGGGATAATATAAATCTCAAGCTTTAAATTACACAATCAAGCAAGCCTATGGTATAACTCCTTGGTAAGAACCATTCCAATATGCTTCTCTGTGTGTTTCTTCAAAATTATCCTGTACATAAAAAACAAGGAGATAGGATGCAGCCTGGTTTTTCCCACTCCTTTTGACATTATAGCTTGCCTTAATCTAAACGTGCAAGTTGGATTGTTAGGCAAATACTGTTTTTAAACCAGATTAGGATAGACTGAAGATAATAAAACCATATTTTAATAAAGAACTCTCCAAATATGTGCCTAGGTTTTTTAACATTTCAGGCTATAGATATATGTTTAGTATTAAGAGGAAAAAACAGTCTTAAGAAGGTGTAATTGGTCTTATTGCACTGTTTTGGAGGCACCAAGGCGATTCCGAGTGGAAAGGATTATCCAGTGACATCACTGCTGCGGGGGGATGCCCAAATGGAAATTCCTTTCATAACCCTTCAGGAACTGGAGTGAAAGACAGGAGTTCACCCCACCCCACAGCAGTACTCGGGTCTCGAACATGAACTTGCTGCTCAACAATCAGTGCCCTAACCATGCACAACACCATGGTTCCGGTATAGTTGATAAACACAGATCACTTCTCATCCACTGAAAGTTTTATCTATTTTGTTTGGAGATATATCAGCCATTGACTCACCAATAATTTCAGTAATATGAGGCTCCAAGATGCATAATTGACCTTCTCCTGTTAAACAGTTGGCATTAAACTGGAATTCTGAGCATTCTGTAAAGGACAAACAGGTAGATGTTATTATGGCCTGCCTAATAAGAGAACAGTAGAATTCTCAGCAACCAAATCTGCATTCTTTTACAGCCACAGGTGTTACATTATTATTCCTCAAGATCCCAAATTGTTTAGTTCCTTGGCTTGTGGAGCATGTCAACTGAATTTATGAACTGCATTAAACCATTATGTGGTTGTGCAGTTTTGTCTCAACATAGTATCAAACTCAGCCATTGCTATTTTTAAACCAGAAGAGTGCAATTTGATGCCACAAGGATATATGTGGTTCTCAAAGATCTTGGGTGTCAACCATGGAGACTTTCATTACAATTTTTTAACATTGATGGAGATTACATGATGAAATAGATTCTCCAGATTTTTGGAAAATAGTTACACTTACTATATTTAATCTTATTTAAATTTAAATGCAAATCACTTGAATTCAGATTGAACTTTTGTTCTGGTTTTATCATTTGGAGTTCTCCTTGAAGAAATATCACACACACACCCCAAAAAAACCATGTAACCGAAGATGTGAACTGGAAAATTTTCAACTGCAGATAAGCTTGGCAATTTCAAACCTGAATGATAATTTGCTTTTTAGATGATTTGTATAAAAACTTGAAAAGCTAAAATAATATGGCAATTACCTATTATTTTACTGCCTACTGCCCAACTTTAATAAAAGTAATTTTTATCCTGGCATGAAAACTTTCAATTTCTTTAAATGCAAGGTTGAAGCTTTAAAAGACTAGATGCATTTTTTTCCACAATCAAATAATGTAGGTTCATTATTTGTGCAATAGATATTGAACACATACTGAAACCAGTATGTGAATTAAAAGCATGCTAATTTCCACAAGAAACCTTTCCAATTCTAAATGTTCTGGAAAACATCTTTTAAGTGTGGCCATCAACATGGGGAAAATGTCTTAACCCATGGGTTTCTGCTGTGTACAATCAACCAATACATATTTATTTACAAATATGAAATATGGAATATGAAATATGAAAAACCAGCCATATTGTAATGGTATTCTACAGATAACCCTCAAATATAGCCATTCGTGTGACCATTTAAAGTTACAATGGCACTGAAAAAGAGTGACTTATAACTGGTGTTTGCATTTACAACTGTCACAGCCTCTCCAGGGTCACATGACCAAAATTCCTACACTTGGCAATTGGCATGTATTTATGATAATTGCAGAATCCTGGGCTCTTGTGACTGTCATTTGCAACCTTCTAAGATGGCTTCTGGCAAGCAAAGTCAATGAAGAAAGCTGGATTTCCTTAATTACGAGATTCACTTAACTACTGCAATGATTCACTTAACCCTGGGAAGAAGGTCATGAAATTGGGCATGGCTCAATCACTTGCTTTGTTTTCTTTTTTAAAATATATTTATTTTCTCTTATGAACAAAAATAAAATGCAAAACAAAAAAATAGAAAAACACACATCCAACACTAACAACCCCCCAAAAATCTTATGTACAAAAAAAGGGGGGGACCCCAAATCACAATAAAAAATTCACCCTGGCTGGATAGTGAAAAGTAGTAAAAAAACCCAAAACTGCTAGGTTCTCCTCCTCTTACATAATGGGTCAACAAATAATTATCTTCCCATCTTTAACAAAAATATTGTATTCAACAAACAAATATTCCAGGTGAGGAAATCTCTTGTCTAATAATCAAACAGACCCAATTTCTAATCATAATACAACCACTTGCTTAATAACAAAAATTTTGGTCCACTTTTTGTCATAAGTTGAGGAATATCTGTATCAGCGAGATGAATACCATTGAAATATAGGATGTCTTTTTTCAGGTAAAGAAAATCACCAAGGGGAAAACAGGACACCATCCTCCCCAATAGCATTGCTTAATAATCATGATTACAATAATGCTTTTTCCTTTGACCAATAATACCAAGCAAATGAAAAATAAAATTGTTCGAAATAACTGTTGAAAGTAGATACTGCTTATATTCAATATAATAGTTGTAATAGTAGTTATTCAGTGTTATTGTGTAACTACATTATTCATATATTTAATATATTAATGGAATTGCTCATATATACATGAAAATGATAAGACTTTCCCTAGTTATCAGTTCTCTTTCGAGACCCATTCAAAATTTCAACAAAGCTGCATGAAGAGTAGCATAATATAGCCCAGAGTTGGGGCAACCAGAGATATTAAAAAAATCAATGATACTTGCAACCTTGCAATCAAAGCTCTGTATTTTATTTGTTTTCTACATGTTAAAAAAAAGCTTTCAGCCCTTTGTGACTTTTATGACTTTCATCTTGACTTTTTGACCCCACCCCGATGATAAGCGCAAGCTCTTTGTGTTCAGCTCATTTCATGTTGAAATGACATATCTAAGCCAATTTTATGGATCCTTTCAGGAGAATGTTTATCCAGTAACCAGTTTAGGTTTTTCATGGCAGGACCCAAATGAGGTAATACACAGCCATAGACACCCTTAGTGCAGTTAAACATTGGGTTCAAAACATATGTTATTTTTACAGGCTTTTTCATGTAATGCATTTTTACATTGTGTTTAATATTCGTTAATTTACATGTTTCTATTATAAATAATCAGTCGTTTTCTAAAGAAATACGAATGCTCTAGTATCAGGTCAGGCACTGTAATGTAGTCCGAGATAACAAGATGCAGTATCTCTGTATGTGTATGCTTTTTATATAAATAAATATCAATGTTTCTGATCCAACCTGAGTCTTGAAAGAACATAGCATTTCTGTTAATTTTACATCCTGTCTTTTGTTCAGGAACTCAAGGCAGCGTACAAAGTGTTCCCTCCTCCTTTTTCTCATCACAACCCTCTGAGGTAGGCTATGCCAAGGGCAGACATGACCTTGGCATCTCCTCAGCTCTAAACCAACCCTTTCACACAGTTTCTTTCACTTGGAATCCCAATCAAGTTATATTTTAATATCTTTTGGTAGATTCCTCCTCCTCACCTGTTGCTGCCAAGTTTTCTCTATCCAAGGAATGATTAATCTCAGCCATAGCTTCTTCACCAAATGCTGATTCAAGAGCAGTCATTTCTTTCCCAAGGCCAGGTACAGGCCAAGCAATCTTAGGTGCACACTGGATACTCACTCCATAAGGATGTTCAGATGTCTGCTTGAGAGATTTCAGGAAAAGTTTAGGAGGGAATATTTAACTATAGGCACATTAATTTCATTCTGTCAACAAAATCCCATTATCTGACCATAACTATATATTCCATAAAATCAACAAAGCCAGATTGCTTTTTAAAACTTGGTTATGTTATACTTTGCTTGTAAGGATAGAATTGAAGATATTTGCTACTGATTCTACAGCAATCAGACAACCATAGCAGTGTAGAAAAACTCTACTAATCTGCTCTACAGTGTACGTAGCCAGAAAGAGACAGTCCTCAATGACAAAAGTCACTAGTCATCTTCTTTGATCAAGGAGTTAGGGCAGAGGTCTCCAAACTTGGCAACTTTAAGACTTGTGGACTTCAACTCCCAGAATTCTTGGAGTTGAAGTCCACAAGTCTTAAAGTTGCCAAGTTTGGGGACCCCTGAGTTAGGGGATTTCTCATCATCTATAATGGCATTAAATATCTGCTTCTACTTAATTTATCTATAACAGATGCATCTCTTCCACAGTTATGCTGTCAGACCACATGGTTTGCTTAGCCACAGTTTACAGAATAGTTCACAGTTGCTTGAATATAGGCAATTTGCTAATCACAAATAAGCAAAGCAGGCCATGGATTAGCAAACTAGACAATACTGATTGCAGTTGAAACTGTTGGCTGATCCTCATTTTCCACCATAAATTTAAATGGAAAAACGATGTAATAAGTCACCTTTGTTTAATGGCACTTTATATAGCAGTAAAGTCTTGGCTATTTGGAAATAAACTTTAAGTTTAAAAAAAGAAGTCAGTTTGGTGTAATAGTTAGGGCATTAGAGAAGAAATGGGGAGACAATATAAGTTTGAGTCCTGCCTTCAGCACAAAGCCAACTGGGTGACTTTAAACCAGTCACTTTCTTATCAATCCTAGGAAGGAGGCAATGGCAAACCACTTTTGAAAATCTTTGCCCAGGAAAACTGCAGGGACAAGTCCAGGAAGTCTTTGAGAATCAAACAAGGTTGCACAGAGAAAAAAAACAATTACAGAGTTTGGTATGAGATATTTTGGGGGTATAGAGTTGCTATGCTACAATTCCCAAGATCTCTCTATTGGGCACAATACCTGGGACAATTTATTTCCCACTTCTCATTCAAGAGCTCAAGGACAACCCCCCCCTCCCCATTTTTCCTAATCCTGTGTAATAAACTGGGATGAGAGAGATGGCCCAGATTTACCCTGTGAATTTCCCTAGTTGAGGATATAGTTGAACCTGGATCTTACACTGCCACTTTCTATTACTTTAGCCACTACATAGGCTTTGCTGTAAGTTACAGTTGTGCTCTAAAGCAGGGGTCGCCAACTTTTTGAACCTCAGGGATCACCAAACTCATAATTTTAAATCCCAGGGACCACTAACCGGTTTTGTGGGCATGGCCTAATTTGTGGGTGTGGCTTGGTGGTCATGTGACTGGCTGGGCATGGCTTGTATGTAAATATTATAAATATTTATATAAATATTGCATTTTTTTATAAAAAAGGGCAACTTCTACCCAAAATCAGGCAAAGCAGGCAGGCAGATTGAGTTGCTCGCAGAATCGTTCAGTGATATATCTCTCTGCCATCAGCTACCTGAGTCTGTCACATAAAATTTGCTTGCGTCTGCACTGAATAATAGAACCTTCAGTCCTAAGGGAGGTTCAGGAGATCTAAAAACTAGCTAGAAAGCAAGAAATCCAACCATTTCCTGCTTCCAAGCTAATCTAAATCTTCCTGCACAACAGAACTGATGGTCGGAAAAAGGAAAAATAACAATTTAGCAGGCAAGTTTGCTGAGTAAGGAGTGGGCGAGGTGGGTTCCCATGGACCATGTGGGCAGCGCAGCCTTGTATTTCTGCACAGCCTGGATTAATTGCTTTCGGGAGGGGTGCTCTGGGTGTGAGATTTCTCTGCGGCCCATCAAAATTTTCTCATGGCCTACTGCGACCGCTGCTCTAAAGTACAGATTGCATTTTAAGTTTTCACTTTGTTACCGAAATCATATTAGTATTTTAATTTTCCCTCTGTAACACATTAGAATGAAAATGAACTTGAAAATAAAAAGAGAGTAGCCAAATAAATGTGTCCTTAACTGCAGCTCCAGATTTTCTCAATTGTGCTTAAAGTTGGCCCAGTTAATTAACAATGAAGATATTGAAATGGTAAACAATTTGTACTTTTCAGGATCAACCATCAATAAGAACAAGAAATTTCTGCCAAGAATTCCTCTATGAGGAGATGGGTGGTTTTAAAATGTGATAAATAAGCAAATAAAATAAAAAATATTTCTGATAGCACTTGATAAAATAGCCATGAAGGCCTTGGAAAAGATATTCAAATACCATGATATACCTCTATACCTACAGACATCAAAACAGCGTAGGCAATGGTATTTTCCATGACACTGTATGGAAGCAAAAGTAGAACACTGTTGTTGAAGAAAACTCCTCAAAATACTGCAGACAGCCCAAAAACCAACAAATGGATCAAACAAATCAATCCAAAATTCTTACTTGAGGCATGAATTATCAGTCTCAGATCATCATACTTTGGATAAATTATATGAAGAGCTAGCTATTTGGAGAAGGGACTAATGGTAGGAAAAGTGGAAGGAAAGAGGATGATCAACAGCTAAGTGGATGGACTAACTCAGGGATCTCCAAACTAGCAACTTCAAGACTAGTGGACTTCAACTCCCAGAATTCCTCAGGCAGCAAAGCTTCCAGGAGTTGAAGTCCACAAGTCTTAAAGTTGCCAAGGTTGGAAACCCCTGGTTACAGCAGAAATGGGTGCCCTACTGGAAGACCTGAAGGATCAGGTAAGGGATAATTGTGGAGAAAACCCATATATATCACTAAGAGTCAAACACTGACTTGATGCTATTTCTTTTTTCTTTTTTTTTCAATTCCTTTTCTATTTAGTGAACCAAATCGGGTGAAATTGGCAAGACAGAATTCCTTAAATGAATTTTTTTTTAATGTTTGTCTTGCTGCCTTGCTGATAATGCAAACCATTCTGAAATTTGAAAAGTTTGAATTTAAATACTTAAACTATTCAATAATATTTAAATATTTAATATTATCTCCTAATCCTTTTCCACAAATAGGGAAGAACTAGGAGTTGGGAACAGATACTGTAGTTCTACTAAAGTATTATTTGAGAAAGAATTATAAGGATCTAGAACAATCTGGGGGAGGAAGAAAGAGGATTCATTAATGTAAACATAAGAAAATAAGTTTTATCAAGAGTATGTTAAAGTAAGTTTTAAATAGTTAAACACAAGTCAGTCCATACTTAATAGATGGAACCCAAAACTCTTTAACAAAAACTAATTATTCCATAGTTTTATCATTTGTAACTACTTGCCATTATATCAATCTTTAAAAAGTAAAGGATGTTTGTTTATAATTTACAAGGGTTACTACAGTCTGCAAAATCTTGTGCAGCGGTTTTGCATTTTGCTCTTCGCCGTTTTGCATTTTCAGTTTTGCTTTCTTAAAACTGTTTCTTCTCAGCAGCCTTGGTGCATGCAACTCGAGAGTTGTTATAACTATTCAAAAACAACCATAATGAAAAAGCCACCTTTATATGTATTACACCTTTACATGTAAGCTCGAGAAGACTCCCGCCAAATATTTCGGACTAATTTATGCTAAGTTCTTTTGGTCACCGTTTCATTCCAAATGTCGGCAATGATTTGATCCAAAACGGAAAAGAGATGATAAGCACTCCTCCGCCTCCTTAATGGGTCCCTGCCTCTTCCTGGTCTTGCCTGGAACCGGAGCTAGCCCAGGACTGGCAACGGCGCGGCTCTTGGAGGAGACGATGAATAAGCCCACGCTCCCATCTAAGAACCTCGTGCGCCGGATCCGAGTAGTTGCTTTACCTTTATCCTGAAGAATTTTGTTGTTCCCATCACAAAATCCAAAATGCAAGCTAAAATATATCAGGATCCAGCCAAGAAACATTTCCCTGGGCTTACCTAATTCTCCCTGGATCTTGTCTCCCGAGTTCTCCTCTGGCCACGTGAAGTCCCCTAATTTCACCTAGAAACCAGGGAAGGCGGTAAGACCACCCCTTCCGTCTTCACTTTTTGCAAACCAATTGTTTTCGGATAGTTATATGTGATTGGACGCTTCTAGGGAAGATGCCCGTGTTTTGCATTTATTTCCTTTGCACCAAGTACAACAATCAATGGCCAATTGGATATCCACCGTCCATCCAGCTCTTCCTGGCTAAGATGCTTGTATGTTTTGAGGCTTTTCTCAATAATTGCCTATTACTGTTGGAAATGTAATTCATCCGGGATACAAAGGGCTTAGATAATACAAGTTTTGCTACTAACAAAAACGTACTTTTCCCCACCAGGTACTGAGTAAATGAACTCTCAGAACTTTCGTGGATTTATTGGTATAGAAATTTCTATCCCACGTTCTCATTAATGCTAACATTACTAGTGCATTCTTATCTATATCCCATTTATTCTGTCATTTTTGTCTTCAAGGAAAGGGGAAAAAAGCATTGATTGGTAGGGTGGCATGAGACATGCTGTTTTGGAAAATAACATGTCAAATCAGATGGAATTTGACTCCTGTTACCTATGAAAAAAGTTAGCACCCGTCCCTCTCCTAAAAGAATGAAACATTTTAGGAAATATTAAAAAGGCAGAATATTATATTTCCCTGAACGAGAAAAGAAGAAACATGTTTTTAGAGACAAAGCAGCTTCCTGCCCCTCACCTTCAGCTTCAGAGTGATGGGATTATTATAATTCCTTGAGTGTCTAATCACACTTGGCCAATAAAGAATTCATTCATTCATTCATTCTGATATGGCCCTCAGGACATGATAAGATTAGCCCTTTACTCATCTAACAGCAGGGCTCACTGTATTGCAAAATCATCTGTGGACATTACATCAGCCCACAATTCAACCAGACTTATCCCAGACAAACTCCTAGGATTTGCACATGATCCTACAGTAGCCAATAGGACATATGCCCTTGCCACAAGAACAGGACACTCTAGGGCAAGGCCCAAGAATGGGTATAAACATATCTCATTCTCCATGTGTTCACCTGCACCAGGACTATGAGCTTAATGGTTCTGCTCCATTAAACCATCCTTCCAAGCAGTCTCCATGTTTCCAGTGTCTTTCTTCCCACTGAACCCAGATGGACATTTCTTCCAATACCTATTTCTATCTCAGATGATAAACAATTACTGTGTTATCAGTGAATTATTGACACTGTCCTTACAATGCCTCCTGATGAAATGAGCAGAGAAGAGAGCATTTGCTTGTTTAAAATAGTTGGAACATAGTTAACAGAAGCTAATCTAGTTCACTGAATTAGCAGAGTTCCTTGAACTCTGGGAGGAGGGGGGAACACCAAAGATTAATTTTTTTTCTTTTCCTTTTATTTGGTTGAATTAGTAACCCACCTTACTTCTTCCACACCCATACTTCCCTATTGTTTGAGAGAATGTAGAAATTTGAAGAGTTTGAATATGATTATAAGGCTGGCCTAATGACAGTAAGATTTACTCAAATTCATGGAATGCACTGTATGATACAATATATGAAGAAACATTCTCTTGAGCAATGCATAAATTGGAGAAAGATATAATGGGAAGAGAGTCCTGCTACAGTATTTTATTGCCTTTAACATATAAAGAACGGTTGCTGGAATTGGGTATGTTTACTTTAATGAAAAGAAGGACTGGGGTGACATGATAGCAGTGTTCCGATATCTCAAGAGCTGCACAAAGAGGGAGTCAAGCTATTCTCCAAAGCATCTGAAGGCAGGACAAGAAACAATGGGTGGAAACTAATCAGGGAGAGAAGCAACCTAGAACTAAGGAGAAATTCCTGACAGAACAATTTATCAGTGGAACAACTTGCCTCTATGTGTGAATGCTCCAACACTGGAAGTTTTTAAGAAGAGATTGAATAACATTTGTCTGAAATGGAATACGGTTTGCTACCTAAGAAGGGCATTGGGCTAGAAGACCTTCAAATTCCCTTCCAACTCTATTATTCTATTCTATTTTAGATCACAGCAAGCTTTAAGACTTTGTTCCACATTGTTGAAAGAACAAAAATCTACATAGAGGTATAGTATTTCTGAGCTCCTGAGAAAATTATTGGCATATATGTAGATACTGACATAAAAACAGTATAGGTAGTCCTTGACTTACAAGTTTGTTTAGTTTACAGCACTGAAATGACTTTACACATGCAGCATCTCCATGGTCAATTCAGTTGCTTGGCAACTGGTTCATATTTGTTATAAGGATGGAACCCTAACATTTATATCTTCATATTTGGCATCCAGAAAGGGAATTACCGTGCTAGCTCTTGGGTAGCTTGAGCCATGCATGACATTCGTATATAATCTTTGTGGTTTATGACTAGAATGTGCTTTATGACTAGAATTCTAGATGAGAGCTGCAAAAAAAAAAGTCCTGGTGGCGGCAGAATCCTGGTACTCAACTGCTTTGAAACTCATCAAATTTGACACTCAGTACATTTTCACAATAACGTTTTGTCCCAGTACTTATTTGTTTGGTACTCAACACACAAGCTAGAACTTGTTGGTGTTGGTTACCTCTTGACTCGCTATCCTTTCCAGCCAAGAGTGGATTAGTCACATGGTAACTCTTACCCTGTGTACATCCCCCTGGCAGTTTTGTGTAGTTATTTTGTGTATTCTTGTGTTTTTCCCCCTCATCAGTACAGGTAAAGTGAAGTTTTTATTTTAATATAAGTATTTAATTATTTATAGGTTTCTTTCTCATGTAAAGTAATAATATACAACCCTATCTGTTTACATTTTGTCTTAAAATGTGCATTGTATTTGGTTTGGGAATGCACTACATTTATTTACATTATTCTTTATGGGGAAAATTGTTTGGTACTTGTCATTTTTGGTACTCATTGTACCTCCCAGAACCATTTAATGACGAGCATCGAGGTACCACTGTATATCCCTTTGCTTCATCTAGTTTTTGCTTGTATTTTGGCTGGCCACATGTAGCAACCCTGTTTGTGACTTAGTTCAATGAGATCATTGAAACAACTGTGATTTTTGTCTAAAATATGGTTTAATGTATTAAGTGAGCCAAATAATGAGTTTCTATGGCCAGATTTTCCATCTGTTTTTAATCAGACTTTAAGAATATAATTGAAAACGTTGCTTCTAAGCCCACACAGAAAGTAGCATATTTCTATTTAAAGAAATGCATTCTGTGCTTATGGAACCAGAATTGGGAAAGGATTTTTGCTCTGAGATTTCAGATGTTTGATTTTTTTTTTACATGTGGATAATGTTGTCCATCCACTTCTTGGCAAGTTTATCATAAAGATTAAGAGAATTTAGTAATTCAGCATAAAACTTAAAATCTCCTTTGAGTCAAGCTTCAGCTGGGCTCATACAATTTTTAGGGCGATGGAAGCAAGCAATTTGTCATTCCTTTTCCAATACTAAATGTTGGTTTCCCCATTTATCTTAGCCACTCACTTCCATCATGGATGCCTCTGCAAATTTTATGCTTGTCTATGTGATTTACAGGAAAAAGATTTAAAAGGGGAGGATAAAAAAAAAAGGATCAGCAACTCAGACAGAAAGGAGGCAGCTAAAATAAGTGAAAGTGGAAGTCAGTTATACTATCTTCTTATGTTTATGGTTCTCAGGGAATTCAATTTAAGGAAGGGAAAGGCTTTTTTTAAAAAAACAAAGATTTGAGGAAAATGCAATTCACATCTTCACATCTTGTAACAAAATCCATGGCTTCTTAAGACATTGTTTAAAAAATGCAGACCGGTACAAACTAATTTTTCAATGTAATTTTTATTTCCAGTTTCAAATTTTCTACAAGAAAACAATAAAAAAATAGAAAACTCTAGAAGTTGTCAAGCACCCTGCCAGGTCACTACAGAAACACAGCTCTGTTGCTGGGTCGCTACGGAGATAAGATACTGGCATCAGGTAGCTTGCTACAGGAACATGAGAGGCTGAAGCACCTGGATTTAATGAGACAAAAGCGCATCCCAGGTGCTTGAAATCCCTTGGGCCAAGAATGGTTGGTGAAGCCTGCCCTGCCTCTAGGAGATACGGCAGGGTCATGAGAACAGGGCTCCTGGGTTATGAATAATTGGAGAATAGAGAATTCGGACAAGCTCAGCTTCTCCCACCAGATGAATACTATGCTGAGAAAAGCAACAAGTGCACAAAAGTTCCCCTTAAAAAAAAGAAAGGAAGAAAACTTGCAAGAACTACTACAGGAGTCTTGTCCCCATGAAGCCCAGCAACCCTCCACGTTCTAACACTAGGATCCCCAAGGGGCCAGGTCCTCAGATTGTGGCACCTGAAAGAAGCAGCATCAAGCTCAGAACTGAGGAGAAAACAAGGGGTTGAACTCTAATACACCCCAGTGATAATCACCTCCAAACCCTGTTTGACTAAATAGAACTCCCACAGCAGCCCTTTCAAATATCCAGTGCATGGAGGAGACAGGGACACCAGAACCAGCAGCAAATCCTTTAAACGTATCTTCTTCATGTTGACAGGTAGTTTCTGCAGGGTATTCATTGGGGTATTTTGCTTTTGCAATTGGGAGCCCCCAGCAAGCAGCTGTCTTGATCGTGCAGAGGATTATAATCTCATTCAGCCGAACTGCAATTTTCCCCATCAACTCAAGGCATGAATTGAATGTCCTTGCCATGCTTTCCCTGGCCCTTAACCAGTGCTCCACTGCAGCTACAGTTTTTACCTTCCAGGATCAGTACTTGGTTGTGTTGTAGTTTTGTCTTTTTTTCCCCTCCTGGAGCTCTTGTGCTGTTATTAGCTGGTTGGTAGGTAATCCCTGTATCTTGCTATGTTTGTCTTGCTGCTGTTAAAAATAGAGAGAATTATTTCAAAAAATAGTCGATAACTCTACGTCTTACTCCAAAACCTTTTGCAGATGGCTGCATAACCCTGTCATATGTGAGCTGACCACTCACAAGCTATCTCTGCAAATCTACGCTACACATGTAAACGGTCTGAAACTGCTTTCACTGTCTTGTAGAGCTGCTTTTTCTTGAGACAGACATTGGTCCATCTAGCCTCTTAGTGCCTGTTCTAGGAGGCAGCCTCCAGTCAAGATCACAGGCAGGGACACAGGCCCTCATACATGTTTATTTTGAATATAAAGGAACTATTGAATATGGAACTTGATTGCATGCAAGGCATGTGTTCTACCACTATGCTACGGGCTCTGCAAAGCCCCTGCCTATGAACTTTGGGAAATGTAGCTTTGTATGCATTATTATTGTTAATTATGGTTTTGTCACACAGTCAGCCAGATGTTTAGACTGGATTTGGCATTTTTATCTGCCTATCAAGTCCTTCCCAAAGACCTGGAATTATTATGATCCAATAGATAGAACAGAGCTACAGTTTCCAGGTCCCTTGGTTGAGAGTCATCATGACAGCTAAACAGATTCGGAATTGATTTATATATGCAGAGCAGACTCAGGCCTGTACCGGCTCCAGCTGTAATTCCACAAGGCCTTGGCCTGTCTTTGAAGCCTCCTGCTGTGGTCCTTTTGGGGCTAGTGGGCCAGACAATTCCTTCTCAGGCTTTGGCTCCTCAGAGTCTTGTGATAGGTTCTCCTCCCATTCTTGCCGATTCAGTGCAGCTTCAGAAGAAAGGCTGGCAATTATTGCTCCCTCAGAACTTGGTTTCCCCTGAGGCATCTTGAGACAGCGAGAGTCTTCCTGATCTTCGGAGGACCAGAAATTGTGTGTCTTGGAAAACTCCCCCTTTGGTTTTGGGGATTCTGGATCTTTCAGCTCAACTATTTCTTCCTCCAACATCACCTGGGCTTTAGGAGCTGTGTGAGAGCAACGACGGGTACGAGTTTTCCTGCTGTGATGGACTTGAAGGTGTAACTCCATAAGCTCAGGAGCTGAGGTGGCAAAGGGGCAAAACTGGCAACGGTGAAGGGCTCCTCCAGCCAGGGCTGGACGTAGAGAAAGATCCAATGGCTGGAAATCAGCCTTTCCGTTTAGCAGTGACTTGCGACGGGATTGGCGGGATCGAGCTGCCCCCACACCACCTAGAGGAAGGAAGGACCCATGACTCTTGGTGAGCTGCGTAGGGGGAAAGGCAGGGACTGCAGTAGGGGCCAGAGGCATGTGGCACTGTTCCATTGTTGCCACAGCTGCAGCAGCTGCAGCAGCATTCTTTTGTTCCCGGTGGTGGCGCTGCAGGTGATATTTGAGCGAGCCAGACTGAGTGCCAGCATAGTCACAGTGAGGGCACTTGTATGGGCGCTCACCTATAGGGAAAAAAGGGGAGAAATTAATTGGCACAGCAATGATGTGTAATTATTTTTCTCTGGGGTATTTTTTTTTCCTGGTTGGTTGCAACATATGGCAAGAGAGTCCATTTAGGTGTCTGACTTATTCACTTTTCCCAGTCCATGAAACAGGGTTAAAAATGTTACATTTTTGACAATGAACAAAATCAGCTTTCTGTATTACAGCTTTTGGAGAGTGAGTATCTTTTTGGTGATATTTTATGGAAGAGGTCTTGCCATAAACTCTTATGTACAATTAATGAGCAAAAGAAAAAGAAAAATCCAGTGAGATGTGTGTAGACGTGTGTGTGTGTGTGTGTGTGTGTGTGTGTGTGTTATTCAGCTTTGTTCGGGTATTTTCCCACGTCATTATAGTTGTGCTTTTAAAGTTGTAGCAACGTTTCGGCAGAATCTCATCTGCCATCATCAGGCTTCTGTATTGTGTTTCTCTGAGGGTCAGACTTTTACAGTTGTTTCAGTTTTAAATTTGGGGCTAGCCTACTGCTGTGCCAGAATGGTTTTTTCTTCATCCTGATTGGTTGGGAGTCTTGGTCTGTGTTTATTGGTCTTGGAGTTTGCTGTGTTCTGCTTGATTGGTGTTTCTATTATCTTCTGTCTGTTTTGTGGCTTTTTTGTGTCTTGATTGGCTGGCAACATTGTGTTCCTGTATTGGAGGCTTTTAGTGCAGCTTGGCTCCAAGTAAATGGACGGCTATCATTTGTTAGGAAGCTAAGTTTCATCTGGGTGCCTGGTTGGGGTGTGTTTGAGCTGGAGGTTTCAGGGGCGATCTGTTTGTGCCCAGGTGTTTGCCTGGCTAGTGGTGTGGAGATTTTTTTTGTTTGTGAGTGCAGGCTTCCAAATGATTGACAGTCTGGTGGAATCATCTCTTCTATTCATGCTTTCAGGTCTTTTTTCAATCTCTCTGGCTTTTCTGATAATTCTGTGGCTGGGGTTTCCTATAGTGGCTAGCGTTTTGGTGCCATTGAAGTTGATGCTATGTCCTGTGGCTTTCATGTGTTAGACTAGTGAGGAAGTGTGTTCCAGCTTTTTTACTGCATTTTTGTGTTCATCCAGGCGGGTACTTATTCTTCTATTGGTCTGTCCAATGTATGTGGCCGGGCATGATGAACAGGGGACTTCGTATATGCCTTGGTTTTCCAGATCAATTTTATCTTTGGGGTTTCTAAGGATGGCTGCTATTTTTCTGTCTGTTTTGAAGGCAGTCTTGATGTGATCCCTGTGTAGTATCTTACTGATTTTGACTGTAGTACCTCTTATGTAGGGCAGGACAGCTGTTTCATAGGTCTGTTCATCTTCTAGGCCTCATAAGAGGTACTACAGACAAAATCAGTAAGATACTACACAGGCATCACATCAAGACTGCCTTCAAAACAGACAGAAAAATAGCAGCCATCCTTAGAAACCCCAAAGATAAAACTGACCTGGAAAACCAAAGCATATATGAAGTTCCCTGTGCATCATGCCCGGCCACATATATTGAACAGACCAATAGAAGAATAAGTACCCGCCTGGATGAACACAAAAATGCAGTAAAAAAGCTGCAACACACTTCCTCACTAGTCCAACACATGGAAGCCACAGGTCATAGCATCAACTTCAATGGCACCAAAACCCTAGCCACTATAGAAAACCCCAGCCACAGAATTATCAGAGAAGCTAGAGAGATTGAAAAAAGACCTGAAAGCATGAATAGAAGAGATGATTCCACCAGACTGTCAATCATGTGGAAGCCTGCACTCACAAACAAAAAAAATCTCCACACCACTAGCCAGGCAAACACCTGGGCACAAACAGATCGCCCCTGATACCTCCAGCTCAAACACACCCCAACAAGGCACCCAGATGAAACCTAGCTTCCTAACAAATGATAGCCGTCCATTTATTCGGAGCCAAGCTGCACTAAAAGCCGCCAATCAAGACACAAAAAAAGCCACAAAACAGACAGAAGATATTAGAAACACCAATCAAGCAGAACACAGCAAACTCCAAGACCAATAAACACAGACCAAGACTCCCAACCAATCAGGATGAAGAAAAAACCATTCTGGCACAGCAGTAGGCCAGCCCCAAATTTAAAACTGAAACAACTGTAAAAGTCTGACTCACAGACAAACACAATACAGAAGCCTGATGATGGCAGATGAGATTCTGCCGAAACGTTGCTACAACTTTAAAAGCACAACTATAATGACGTGGGAAAATACCCGAACAAAGCTGAATAACATACATATATAGGTATGTGTGTGTGTTGTTCAAATCAGGACATCATACTTAGGAATTACCGTGTTTCCCCGAAAATAAGACAAGGTCTTATTTTCTTTTGAACCCTGAAATAAGCGCTTATTTTCCGGGTGGCCTTATTTTTTTCCCCATCTACCGGAAGGTTTGGGGTAGGGGAAGGAAAGCTGCTCCTCTTACCAGCAGCTTGGTCCGCAGAACCTCCTGCTGCTGCCTAGAAGAATCCTGGATGATCTTGCAGCCGATCGAGGCTGCAAAAGCAGCAGGAGGCCCCACGCACCTTGTGCTCCCTTCAAGAACAGTCTTACCTCAATCGATGGTAGAGCTGGCGAGTCCAACGATGAGGAAGCTGCGGCAGCGGTAGGACTCGTCAGGACGCCAGCCAGCCGCTCGTCAGCAGGCCGCTCTCCTGGCTGGGTCTGGCCACAAGCAGCACCAACAGGCAATGAGGTGCATGGCCAGCGTGAAGAACAGGGTGGCGGCAGCAGCAGGCACATCAGGACAGTGCCAGCCAGCCACTCATCAGCAGGCCGCTCTCCTGGCCAGGTCTGGCCACAAGCAGCACCAACAGGCAACGAGGTGTGTGGCCAGTGTGAAGAACAGGGTGGCGGCAGCAGCAGGCACGTCAGGACAGCGCCAGCCAGCCGCTCATCAGCAGGCCGCTCTCCTGGCCGGGTCTGGCCATGAGCAGCACTGGCAGGCAATGAGGTATGTGACCGGCGTGAAGATCAGGGAGGCAGCAGTGGGACACGTCAGGACAGTGCTAGCCAGCCGCTCATCAGCAGGCCGCTCTCCTGGCCAAGCAGCACTGTCAGGCAGTGAGGTGCATGTCCGGCACAAAGAACAGGGAGGTGGCAACAGCGGCAGGACATCTGGTCGCAGCGGTGTGACTAGGCAGACAGCATGGTGCAGAGTCCTGGGAAGCATGGCTGGAAGTGCATGCATGGCCGCAGGGGCAAACAGAACAGAACAAAGCAGCACCGCCACAAGCTTCATCACACTGGCGCAGCTGACATCCTGCCACTCACAGCTGTGCCAGTATGTCGAACCTCACAGCAGTCCCACTGCTTGGACACAACAGCACAACAAGCCTTGCAACGTGAGGTTCGACATACTGGCGCAGCCACGAGTGGCAGGACGCCAGCTGCGCCAGTGTGATGAAACTCATGGCGGTGCTGCTGTTCATGTGTGCAATAACAACAAGCCTTGCAGGGTACTGCTTCAAGAG